AATATCGATGTGTGGAATCAATAAGCCTACTTATTCCGCCCCCCCCCCAAAAAAAATCAGTCCCCTTGGGGTCAAAACCTTCTCTGAGATGATTCCTTGTGTTATATATATGTAGTTGTGGGGTTGTGCCTTCAAGTCATTTCTGACCTATGGAGACCCCAAGGGGTTTTCTTGGCAAGTTGTTTCGGAAGGGGTTTGCCCTTGCCGTTCTCTGAGGCTGAGAGAGTGTGACTTGCCAAAGGTCACCCAGTGGGTGTCATGGCTGAGCCGGGACATAGTATTGATGGACGAAGGAGCTGCTTGTCAGACAACCAGGTAGCAAAGAACATCTTCCGAAATGCCTTCTCCCGCACAACCATTAAAGGGAATTGCTCTTTCGTCATATTATACTGTATTGCCCACATGTCCGATATTGCAACATTATCTCCCGGGAAGGAAATTGTGGAGGGCAGAGGAACCGCCACGGTGCGCCTCTACTGCCAGGGATTCACTTGGCCAAATGCCCAGCTTTTCCAATAGCCGCTGGAGGCTTCGAGGGCTTCGCATCCCAGGCCAGGACAAGGATCAAGGAACAACTGGGCCCCAACCATAAAGCCAAAGGGATTTATTTATTTTTAAATGGCCCATTCTTTTTTGCAGAATCCGGTTACTCCGCTAGAGGGATGCCCTAGACTGTGAGAGAGATTGCACTCCTCTCCCTTCCGTTGCATAGGCTGCCGGCAGCCTTTGCTAGACCAGCCTTTCCCCTCTGGAGACCCTTTGCAACCTTCTCAAATTCTTAAATCAATAACTATTCCCCATTTCATTTTCTGCTGCAACATGCACCACCGAAAGCGGGTTGGAAGGGCCCTGGAGTTTTACGCTATGCAACCCAGAAAGGGGAAAGGAAAATCACAAGAGCTCAACCATGACATTTTTTGCAGCTTGCTTCACATGAAATCGACTTCTCGGTAGAGCTGGATGAATGAGACCAGACTGCAAGGCCTGTTTCTCCGGCTAAAGCTGCGATCTTGCAAGGCTAGCTCAACCGTCAGATAAAATAAGGATTTCTCCAGTTGCATCCCTCTGCCGAAGAGCAGAGGATGCTCAGGAGTGTCTCTCAGCCTTTGGCCCTCCACATGTTTTGGACTTCCAGTCCCCAGAATCCTTGACCATTACTGACTGGGGCTTCCGGGATCTGAAGTCCAAGAAGTCTGAAAGACCAAAGGTTGAGAACCGCCATCCCAGGATCCAAGTGCCAATCCAGCCGGCTCTGAGGCAATGGCTTCAAATGAAACTTGGATTCAATTTCTCGTCCTCCCAAGCTCACTGTGTCACTGTGGGTCTTGCAAAGACCAAATGGGGAAGGGAGATATGTATACGCTCTTGAGCTCCCTGGGCCAAGGTGGGGTGTGGAATCATAGAATCCTAGAGTTGGGAGAGACCCCCAAGGGCCATCCGGTCCAACCCCAATCTGCCATGCAGGAACTCACAATCAAAGCACCCCCGACAGATGGCAAACAATAAATGCAAAGAATAAATCAGAACCGACGTCCCTTTCGTTTTTTTACTTGCGTGCCAAGCTCAGCAGCCGTCTTCAAGGAAGACACAGCGGGTGCCCTATGGCAAGCCCTCCAACCTGGTTTCCCTCTGGTGATGCAGAACAGGGATGCTTTTCTCCTTTCAGCATTTGTCAAGGACACCACAAGGCTTGGCCTCCGGCCACCCGAGGCTGTCCTTAACCTCTACAGGAACACATTTTGGCTCGAAGTGACAAACATTCAGTTTGGGGGGGCAGCAATATCCAAATAGGCCAGTGACACCAAAGACACAGAGCCCAGGGACCGGGCCCATCTCACAAATGAGGATCCTCCTTTCATGCCCAGGGTGGCGCAAGAAGAAAACCGCAGTCCTTTTGTCTCCCATCCTTGACGGAATGAAATCAAAGGAGCCTGGAGGTGCTTTGTCTCCCGTTTGACAAGTTGGAGTGCAGAGCCATCGAGGGAGTTTTGTATTTTATGAATGGGCAGATTATGGGACCCGAACAAGCAGCCAGCCAGCTGAACGGTTCATGTGAGGTCCTCCACACTGAGGGAAGTCAGCTGTATTTCAAATTCTTTACAGCCTCGGTGTACAGAAAATAATAATAAGATATTATTATTATTATTATTATTATTATTATTATTATTATTATTCAGTGGCAGATCATATGCTTGGCACACAAAGGGTTGTTGTTGTTGCTGCTGTTGCTGCACACCTTCAAGTCATTTCCAACTGATGGCAACCTTAAGGTCAACCTATCAAAGTGTCTTCTGGGGCTGAGAGTGTGTGACTCACCGAAGGTCACCCAGTAGGTTTCCACGGCCAAGCAGGGAATCAAATCCTGGTCTCCAGAACCATAGTCCAACACTCATAGAATCCTAGAGTTGGAAGAGACCCCAAGGGCCATCCAGTCAAACCCCATTCTGCCATGCAGGAACTCAAAATCAAAGCATCCCCGACAGATGGCCACCCAGCCTCTGTTTCAAGACCTCCAAAGAAGGAGGTCAAACCACTACACCACACTGGCTCTCTCCCACAAAAAATTCTAAGTTCAATCCCTGCTGTGGTTTCGCCACCTCCAGATGTTCTCCACTACAATGACCATCAGCCCCAGTCAGCATGAATCAATCCGTCACTCTTTCTTCAGATCCCACCTCTCCCAAAGAGGGAGGCCCAAGGTGACTTACAGAATAAAAACACAGTAAAACCACATATACCTGAAACGTATGGGGAAAAGGTTAAGATTAAAATCACATCAAACCGTCTGTCGACTTAAAACCATATAAAATCTTTATTCAACAGCTTAAAAACTGCACAGGATTACAACAGATGGCCAAGAGAGTGGCACCTTTGCTTTCTGATGGTTCAATGTACACAAACTTTGTTTTGCGCACAGCATTATATAAAACAATTTATTCCCAAACTCTGGCTGGGATAGAAATTTCGGGCAACGGCCATCCTATTGAGCATCAATGAGCTGGTTGTGGTTGTTGCTGTGTGACTTGAAGTCATTTCCGACTTATGGCGACCCTATCATGGGGGTTCCTTTGCAAGATTTGTTTAGAGGAGATGTGCCATTGCCATCCTCTGGGGCAGAGAGAGGGTGACTTTCCCAATGTCACCCAGCAGGTTTCCATGCCCATGCTGGGATTCGAACCTTGGTCTCCAGAGTCCTCGTCCAACGCTCAGACCACTACACCACGCTGGCTCTCCGATGCGCGGTACTGATGGTATAACTGGGCCAACACGGGCTTGTGCAACCAATCTGCCCAGCTGCCAAAGGAATGGCATGGGAAGAGCTACAAAAGCTTGGAAGCGAAAATGCTGTGGCAGGGAGTTGGAAATTCTGGGTGGGAAGTGCTCAGAAGCTCGCCCGCATGCCAACAGTCCTCCGCCCAGCCCCATACCGGTGCACAGTCCACACACCCGGGGTTTCGCCAGAGCAAAAGGGGACTCTTTTTACTCCAGAGAATTGCCCTGAAGCATGGACCGGGCCCATGCTCCACCTGTTTTGGCCCCATGCATCGCCTACACAGATCAATGGGGAAATGGGGCAGGAGCATTTCTTCTCTTGCATGTGGACATGGCCCAAATTGCTGTTTTGGCTGGTTGGGGTTATGGTGACACAGTATCTCTTTCCATCCGTGATCCCAGCAGCCCTACAGAGAGCCACACTGAAAGGGTCCTTTGAAGGCTCACGGGAGACGGGTACCAGCCACCTTTGGAGCATCGCATCCATGCCAACCTAGTGCTGCCTGTTTCCATGGGGGCCAGCTGGGCTTGGCAGCAGCTCCAGATCAGCGCCATCGCTAGCAAGGACCAAAATGAAGACACTACACTACAGGGACAAAAACAGACAAGGCAGGGAAGAGTCACAAGACCAGAGCTCCTCACAGGTGGATGATGATGATGATGATGATGATCATCATCATCATCATCTTAAAGGCAGCTGTGGGGATCTCTGAATGTCATTAAAGAGTCATCATGAGAGAGAGGGTTAATGTTTTCCAGGCTTGGAAAAGTTATTTTTGGACTACAACTCCCAGCACCTACCAGCCAGGATTCTGGGAGTTGTAATCCAAAAGGCAATTTTTTCCAACCTCTGACCTTTTCCTTCTATGTAAGGTTTCTCCCTCTATCAGCTCCAGTGAGGTCCAGTCAGGTCATGCTATTTATTCTTTCTTTCTTTCTTTCTTTCTTTCTTTCTTTTTCTCTCTCTTTCTTTCTTTCTTTCTTTCTTTTTTTCTTGGCTTTCACAATCCTGCTAAGAAGTCCCTTCCTCAAGTCAGTTTGCTTCAATGTTACGCAAGTTCCCTCCTCTCAGGAATTGGTGGTTCCTCTTTCAGCGAAGCAGCATACAGATTTCAAATGTTCAACTACAAAATGACCCATAGGCTTACAATTGCCGGCCCGGACAAGGATGTAAGGAGGATATCATCCTGTCTGGTTCCAGGTATCAAAAAAAGTCATTGGTTGCTATGATCATAAAAATAGTTGAATGTAACACTTTCCCACTGTGTTGCTCATAAGGAGCTAAAATAGTTAGTTACTTTAAAAAGAAAAATACCTGCACGTTCCAAACCTTGAATGAAGGGATATTGCGCCTCAATCACCCCATAACTATGCCAGGAACTAAAAAGCTGCAGTTACACTAAAAAGGGAGTGATGTTATAGCTCTCATTTTCTTTCATTGCAATATGATGTAGTTTTATACCTTTGCTATGGGAAAAGGGAATTGAGGATGACTTCGCCACAGCCTCATTTGCCTTTGAGTCACCAAGTGAATCACTGACTTTTTAAGATTGTACAAACCTCCCTTAGGCTTAAGAATTGTACTCTCTTGCAAGTGCAAAACCATAAATAAATCGGCCAGTCTGGCCAGTTCCCTGTTCAGGTTTCCAGCCAGCCTTGCCCTTTTCCAGGACACTCCATTCCATTCACTTGGTTTTTTCTGCACCAATATTCCTCGTCTTTCTCCAAAGATTTTGGGCACAATTCTAAACCACAATCTACGTCGTGTGCTGTACAACGTTACATATACCGGTTGAGTCTCCGTTACCTGGAATTCTGAAATATTCCAAATTCCAGAATTATCCACGTGGACGGCCGAGAGAGTGGCACCTTTGCTTTCTGATGGTTCAGTGTACACAAACTTTGTTTTGCGCACAGCATTATTAAAAATATTGTGTATAAGATGACCTTCCAAGGTATCTCATTATGGTATTCCCTGGGTATTCCCTAGTGTTTGCTTCCAGGATCTCCCATGGATACCAAAACCCGTGGATGCAGAACTCCCATTATATACAATGGGGTAGTAAAATGGTCTCCGGTCATCCAGTCTGGTTCCAGGTATCAAAAAAGTCATCGGTTGCTCTGATCATGAAAATAGTTTAATATAACATTTCCCCATTGTGCTAAAGTAGCTAAAATAGGTAGTTACTTTAAAAAAAAATACCTGCGTGTTCCAAACCTTGAATGGAGGGATATCCCTTGTATACATGGAAAAATGAAGGGTTGCTTTTTGGAATTTATATATTTTTGGATACTTTCAAGATGTGGACGATGGAATCCATGGATAAAGAATCCAGGGACACGGAGGGCCAACTGTATCTGCGGATATTCTAACATCCAAAGTTGGAAACACTTCTGGTCCCAAGCATTTCAGAGAAGGGAGATTCAACCTGTACTTAGCGCCATAGCAGAGGCACTATGGAAGCCTATTCGTGAATTGCAAAGATGCGTGTCAGGGTACCAGCAAGAGTATTCCAGTGTGCATCATGCGCTACTGATGTGCATCAGCACTCCCTTGACAATGTCCCACTGCACATTGGGCTTTACTGATGCATAACATGACCACCATTTTCTATTAGTATTTTTGTTTTCAGGATCCTCTCCAAAGTCTGTGCAGGTCCTCAGAGATATTTACAGGCTCATAGATTTTTGTGGGTTTTTCGGGCTAGGAGGCCATGTTCTAGAAGAATTTATTCCTGACGTTTCACCAGGTGAAACGTCAGGAATAAACTCTTCTAGAACATGGCCTCCTAGCCCGAAAAGCCCACAAAAAACTATGGATGCCAGCCATGAAAGCCTTCGACTTCACATTTACAGGCTCTTCCAGCAAAAAAGAACTTACTGTACGTCTACACTATAGAAATAATGCGGTCTGACACCACTTTGACAGCCATGGCTCCATCCTACAGAATCCTGGGATTTATCACTTTTGTGAGGCACCGGCCCTCTTTGGCAGGGAAGGCTCACGACCCTGTCAAACTACAAATCCCATTTGATTCCATAGGATGGAGTGACGGCACTTAAAAGTGCTGTCAAACTGCATTCTTTCTACAACGTCGGTGCAGCCTCAGACAAGTTACTTTCCGGAGCTACAACACCCAGAAGGTCCAGTTGACACGGCCAAAGACCATGCTGGACAAAAGGTTCTGGGATTTATATTCCCAAAAAAGAAGCTCTTCTGAGATGTGAGAAAGAATCTGCAGACCTTTTAGCAATGGAGGTAAGTGAAAGTAGGAAGGCAGTACCCAACACAGTTTGTTCCCTAAGTAGTAATACAGTTTTTCAAACCACATTTTAGGCCGACGTTATATAGGCTACAAAATACAGTCTGGAGCGCTTGCTGATCAAAAATGATGGGAATTGTAATCTAAACATCTAGAAAGTGCCAGGAATGGGAAAAGATATAGGGATGTAGGTCTTTCCATCTTTCCAGGCCCTAGTCAACCTACTAAAAGACCATTTCTAGACCATCTGTACAGAATGCTCACTCCTCAGCTTCTTGCAGTATTTTATAAATGAAAAGCATGATCCTTCTCCTCCTCCTCCTCCTCAGACATCTCATTTTCTCCAAGTTCTGGTCCTGCTGCTTAAACCCATGAAATATCTTCTTCCATTTCTCCGACTTTCCGGTGCACGTCTTCCAAGACCCCCCCCCCACTCCCCAAAAAATAAAAGAAAGTATATGAGCTGGCACTCATATATTTGCTTGCACCCTTCAGCAGCCAAATTTCCTTCGGTAGGTCTACTAGGGCATGGAAAATGAGATGATCTGTCAGCAGATCGGTAGGAAAGGTACAAAACCCACAAACACACACATCTTTGCTCCTGGCACATCCAAAGGTCTCAGGGCAGACTGCTTCTTGTAACCGTTTTTTTGCAGGCCAAGGGAGAAAGAGAGAGATCATTCAGAAGGTTTGCCTCCTATAACCATTTCCTGGTTATGGTCTAGCAATGCCAAGGAAATTCAAAACAACCTGGTGCAGAAGATGAATGTCTTCGGCTTAAAATGCCCGCTCCTTTTTATGAACCAAAGACTTTTTTCCCTACAGCGATCACTCTCTGGCCCAGAAGAAAAAATTCTGAGCGTGGCAGTCATCCTTCAGAGGATGAGACGCCTTAAGTCAGCTGCTTTTTTGTAGGAGCATGTGAAAAATTCTTTAATAATGCAAATCCTTCCAAGGCAGCTTACAAATAACTCAAGTCACAAGCAACAAATTCTTAAATAAAGTAGAGGACAAGCTGTAACTCTGTGTTAAAATGCATACGCTGCATGCAGAAGGTCCCAAGTTCGCTTAAAATCACAACATGGTTACACAGGTTGAGTCTCCCTTATCCAAAATGCTTGGGACCAGAAGCTTTTTGGATTTGGGATTTCTTTTTGGATTTCGGAACACCTGTATTTGCATATACCTGTACATAAATCAAGAGATATCTTGGAGATAAGACCCAAATCTAAACCCAAAGAATGCATTTGTGTTCCATATACAGCTTACAGAAATAGCTTGATGGTAATTTTATACATTTTTAATCAATTTGTGCATATCAGAAAGAAAAGGCGTCACTACCTCAGCCACCCATAAAACAAGTTTGGGGTTTTGGAATATTGAAGATTTTGGAATTCTGGATCAGGGAAACTAAACCGCTATTTTCATTACAAGGCAAAGAATTACAAGTATCTAGTTGTTTCCCATGTTCGATCTTTGAGAAGAGAGGGTTCACAGATGAGGAGTGCAAATCACATGGTTGCCCGATGTTGTTGAATTGCAACTCCCAGTATTTTGTTTCATTGGCTGTCCAGGCTAGGACAGCTGGGATGTGGAGTTGGAACAAGATCTAGGAGGTCACACGATTCTTTCCTCTGGGCTAAATGGTCAAATAAATGGACCTGGTGTAAGGCAGCTTACTAAAAAAAGTGGG